ATTTCTCTGTTTAGTTTCTGTCTGGATGACCTGTCAATGGGTGAGAGTGGAGGGTTGAAGTCTTCTACTATTAATGTGTGGGGTTCAATACATGACTTAAGTTTTAGTAATATTTCTTTTACAAATGCGAGTGCCCTTGTATGTGGGGCAGAGATGTTCAGAACTGAGACATCTTTATGATTTTTTCCTTTGATGAATATGAAATGTCCTTCCCCATCTTTTTTGACTAATTTTAGTTTGATGTCTACTTTGGTAGATATTCAAATACCTATATCAGCTTACTTCTTTGGTCCATTTGTTCAGAAAATATTTTCCCGACCCTTTACTCTGAGGTAATGTCTGTCTTTGATGTTGAGATGTGTTTCTTATATGCTGCAGAAAGATGGATCTTGTTTTCATATCCATTCTGTTAGCCTTGTCTTTTTATTGGCAAATTGAATCCATTGATCTAGAGGGATATTAATGACCACTGATTGTTTATTCCTGTTATTATGTTATTGGTGGTAGTGCTGGCAGTGTGTGTGTGTGTGTGCGTGTGTGTGTGTGTGTGTGTGTGTGTGTGTGTCTCTCTCATGTGCTATTCTCTATTGCCTGTGTTTTTGTGGGTCTAGCTAACTTCTTTGTGTTAAAATTTTACTTCTAGCACCTTCTGTAGGTCTGGGTTTGAGAATAGATAGTGATTAAATTTGACTTTGTCATGAAATATCTTTTTTCCTTTTTGTATAGTTTTGCTGGGTATAGTAGTCTGGGCTGGCATCCATGATCTCTTAGAGTCTGCAAGAGGTCTGTCCAGGCTCTTCTGGCTTTTAGTGTCTCCAATGAGAACTCATGTATAATTCTGGTAGGTCTGCCTTTATATCCTTTTTCTTTTACAACTCTTAATATTATTAATATTCCTTATTTTGTATGTTTAGTGTTTCAATTAGTATATGGCAAGGGAACTTTTTTCTGGTCTAGTCTATGTGGTGTTCTGTAAGCTCCTTATACATTTAGAGGTATGTCCTTTAGGTGGGAAAATTTTCTTCTATGATTTTGTTGAATATATTTTCTGGGCCTTTGAACTGGGATTCTTCTTCATCTTCTATTCCTATTATTCTTAGTTTTGTTTTTTTCATAGTGTCCCAGATTTCCTGCATGTTTTATGTTATTTTTAGATTTAACATTTTTTGATCAATAAATCTATTTCCTCTATAATATCTTTATCACCTGATATTCTCTCTACCTTGTCTTGTGTTCTGTTGGTGATGTTTGCATCTGTAGTTCCTGTTTGTTTACCCAGGTTTTCCATTTCCTGAATTCCCTCAGTTTGTGTTTTCTTTATTGCTTCTATTTCCATTTTCATGTCTTATACAGTTTTATTTGTTTCTGTCAAGTGTTTATTTTTTTTTCTTGGTTTTCTTGACATCCTTTAAGAGATTAATTGTTTCCTCCAATTTTTTTTGGTTGTCTTTTCTCCATTTCTTTCAGGGATTTTTCCATTTCCTCTTTAAGGATCTCTATCATCTTCATAAAGTTATTTTTAAAGTTGTTTTCTCATGCTTCAGCTGTGTTGGGATGTTCAGGTCTTGCTGCTGCTGCATAGCTGGGTTCTTGTGGTGACATATTGCCCTTTGTGTCATTGATACACTGACTTTTAGGCATCTGGATTTAGGATGATTACAGGTCTAGGTGTTGACTTCTGTTTTATCTTTGTTAGATGGTGTTTTGTTCCTTGATTTTTGTTTCCTCTCTGGTCCTCTGGCCTAAGTGGCCAAAAGTTTCTGGTGACTAAAGAGTCTCCAGGTTCAGTAAGATGTCTCCACTGGTGTTTTGTGAGCCTTGTCTCCCTTGATCTAGTTTGGCCTCTGGTAAAGCCAATGTTTTCTTAGGTCTGTAGATCCAGCCTGGCCTCCAGTAATACCCGAGTCTTCTTGTGGGGTACCAAGGACCAGCCTGCCCTCTAGTAGAGCTACTGGGGCGATCCTTTTGACTGATGTGGACTGTACATGAGCCTTAGGTGGCTGTTCTTCCAACTGGTGTGGACCGTGTCTGGACTTATGGAGTCTACTGGAGTTCTGAGGAAGGGGCTTTTATGGACTAGTGAGGGCAGTTTTGCCTGATCTGGTCTTCACCTCAGTGGTAAAAGTCCACTGGGATTGCTGGCTGGGTTCCTGGTGTTTATACTGACAAGCTTAGCACTTGATGTCTTGTTAGTCAAGCACTTCTCCCAGTCACCCTTCAGATGGAGCTCAGTAAAGGAGCAGTCCCATGATGGCAGCTGGGAATGTGAGAATACGAGAGAGTACTTCAGACACGGCTACTCCTTTTAATTACAAAATGACGTCACATCCATCATCTTTGCCAACATCCTATTTCCTAGAAGGGAGTCACTTAACCCTGCTGCTTTAAAAGGAAGAATCACCAAAGGCATGACCACAAGGGGACAGGAATCACCAGAGCCTTGCACTTGGTGGGCAGGAGAGACTCACATGCTGCACAAACACAAAGGCTTCTCTCTCAGGGTCCCAAAAAGTCCATTCCACCACGCTATCAAAGTCCTTAATTTCATAATATAAGTCAAGAACCATTTTAGACTGTGTCTGTAACACCCATAGAAGTAGAGATGGATGGGAAAAATACAGAATGACAAAATTTTCCTGTATCAATAGTAATTACATAGATGCACTTGATCGCCAAGCATTGAATATTAGAAACAGGGGTTTTAATGGAATGCATATATTTATAAAGATTTGTTGATTGATTGATTGATTGATTGATTGATTGATTGTGTGTGTGTGTGTGTGTGTGTGTGTGTGTGTGTGTGTGTCTGTGTGTGTGCTGTTCCATGTGCAAGCAGGTAGTCGGAGAGGCCAGAATAGGACATTGGATCCCCAGGAACTGGAGTTTGTGTGGGTAGCCACCGATAGGAGTTAAAAGCAGTTGTAAGACCCCCAGTGTGGGTGATGAGAAGGAACCCTGTGTCCTCTGAAATAGTAGCAAGTGCTCTTAACCATTGAGCCATCCCTGCATGCTCTGAAACTTATGAATTTATTAAAAATGTTTAAAATTAACCAACACAGTAATATAGCATATATTAGAATTCAGCTAAATGAGTAGAATTTTTTGACTACGTATTAAAAAAATATATTCATACAAATGTACATTTTGGCACTGTAAATTAGCATAATTATTTCTAATTATGCCTTTGCAAAGGTCTAATAAAATGTTATGTGAGCATAAAGTCTACAATTTGATTATAGGAAAAGAAAAATATTACTATTGACCAGAATATATAATTTTATTAAATCTTTCCATATAAAAACACTTTTCTAAATAATATAATTTTTCTCCTTAATATTTGCTTTCATTTATTAGAGCAAGCAATTTACCAATTCAAACATTAAGGAAGGTAAACAAAATATTAACTATTAATATTTTCTTATTCCATTCCCATAAGAACTATTGCAATTATTTTTTTGTAAAATACATTTTTCTAACCATGCTTGAAAATAATTTAGTTCCAAAAATCTGACTATAGACTGTGCAAAAAAAAATCCAATTTTCCTGACTCTTTTCCATTCCTGGAAAGGGACATAGGTGAGCCCGTGGGATCTTGTTACTGCATGCTGTTTATGCAGCTGGGCCTCATTGATCTTGGGCTCCTGTTACACGGTTTGTGATGGGAAGCAAACGTTTTCAAAACAACCACAGACACAGGTCTTTAACCTCCACCTTCATGGACTCTTTGTTCCACAATTACTTCTGTGGAGATTATGAGGAAGCAGCTCTAGACTCCCTTACCTCTCTCTGAACCCATAGTTTGGGTGTGTTAAAATCAATATTTGGAATCAAATATTGGTATGTCAAAAAAGACATGTTTATTTTTAATCAAGGCTTATTGTAAGTACCAGGCTCTAAAATGCTTGATATTGAGTTTTCTAAGGAGAAAATGATGTTTATATTATTTCAAGGGCTCAGTTGGTAAACATTTTTTAAAACTTAGGACTTTTGTCACATTTATTGCAACTTAAAGCCCACACAACATCTGAAGATACAAAGAAACAGCCCTTGCAAATCTCTTACATGTAGCTATGTATGTAATAAATAAGCCAGAAGTTTGGGCCCTAACCATTTCAAATGGTTTCAAATACTGTGTCTGTGTAGTTTTAAAGGACCTCATGATGAATTACTGCTCATTTATGCAAAGTAATTCCTGAATTGTTTGGGTACAGTGTGTTTATTAGAAGTGATTAAATGACTAAAATAATAACCAATCACAATCTAAGTACCTATTGGACAATGGGTGCTGAAAACATTCCCTGCTTGAAATGACAGCAGGCCTTGGGAGGCTGATCTTGGCAGTTCTTGATGTAATAAACAGTCTTGATTGTCTTCTCTATTTTGAGGGCACATGAATGTCATGTGAAGGGGTGGACATCTTGGTAAGCTATGAGAAGAACCACAAACAATGATCAGTGTGTGAATAAGAGTATAATCTTAAAGATCAGCATCAAATATTTTTATGGTTTGCTTATTCCAACAGACAGCATTTGAGACATCTCAAAAGTCATCAGGAAATAATACGGTGTAATATTTCATTATATACCAATTTCTTCCAAATTTGTCTTTAATTAGAAATATGTTATCACATACTGAAAACTCATCACTTTCCATTGAGTATGTTGTTACAACATCATACATTAGCTTTTATAATCTGTGATGCTGTAAATATTAGCAAAGCATAAATTTTGGAAGTCATCTCATTCCATTGGCAGTATATAATTGTGTCGCATACTATGTGTGCATTTAGTGGTTATGCTTCATTTTCTATTTAGCTATTATTTGTATACTGTATGGTTTTAGAAATGTTTCGAGAAAGCTCGTTTTAATTCTCATTCTGTTGGCTAGCCTTTTCTGAGATGTTCCAGGCTTTTCGTCTACTCTTAGAGCAAATCTCGTGACTGAACAGAAGCTGCTCTCTTCTTATTCTCATTCCTTGTTTGAAATCACATGTTTTGCAGAGATTAACATTATTTGGGCTGCACATCAAGCGCACCACAGTTCTGAAGACTATAACTTAAGCACAGCACTGAGACAATCTGTCTTGCAGCAGTATAGTTCCTGGGTAAGTTGTGGGAAACTGGATAACTGTGAAATTATCATTTGTTTTTTAAATCCTACGTCAGTTGGAGATATGTCCACAGAGGGATTATTGGGCCTCAGTTGCTTCCTCTGGCTTTTTGTTTGAAGAGGTGATTGCCAAGTATCACAGGCATGCATGCTCTTGAAATCCACAGTGAGGGGCCACATACAAAAGAGTACCCTCACCACTGCTGTTCCGTACTTCTGCATTTGCAATATCTAAAATTGTGGACTACATGAACTTATTTTTAGAGAGTAGTTTTGCTCATGTATTTCTTTGTAGTGGTTTCACATCATTTAAATACTCTCCGTGGGTAAGAGATGTGTTTATAGAAACTGTAATATATAAGAACTATAGTAATTCTAAGATGATGGAATTAAGTCTGCATTTATGTAGCAGAGATGAAGAAGGAGAGTATAGATGAACTCATCTATACATCTATGCATTTACACAGCAGAGGAGGGTCGAGATGAATTCATTCAGCCTGGCACCTGTACAATTAATTTTTTTATCTATGTTGGAAGTCTTTGTCACCATTAATGATCATTCTTCAGTTATTATCTCATTTGATCTTTGTTAATAAGTTCATAGTTTTGTTTGTTTTATCAAATGTTATCCAGAAACTGAAGTGCCATGAGGTTGATTATACAGCTGATAAGTGGAAAATTCAAATCTTAACCAGGTGCCTTTTAACTGAAAGAAAATATGCAAGTTTGGGTACTAACCCAAATAGCAGAATAGGTGAGAAGGCCCATAAGCCTCTAATGATGCAGTTAATGAGCAAATCTTAAAAGAACCTTCCCTCAACCTTATCATACCAAAGACCCAGAGGTTAAAACATGCCTCTGTTTGGGGGTTGCTATAGCAAAATGCTACAAACTGAGAGGCTTAAAACAACAACAAATTTATTGTTTCAGATTTCTAGAAGCTAAACACCAGTGTCTTGGGGTGCTTCCAGAGTGGTGTTACCACCAGGGTCCCAGGGATTATCCGTGAAAATAATGCTGTCCTGGGCTCTTGTTGTGTTGGGGTTTGTTAAAGACAAATAACCAGTGTTCAAGCTTTTCTATCATCTTATTCCTGCTTATTTGTTCAAATTGGTATTTTTAAACTAAGGGAACTGGTCATCCTGAATGAGGGACCCATGGGTGGCTCTTATAAACAACCAGAAAGAATATAGCTGTATTTGAAGTTGACCAAGGACGTCAGTTTAGTTAATGAATTAAGAACTTATTATCAGAAAATAAAAAGATTCACCAGAGCATCATATATCTCAGAATTTGAAGAAATCTTCTATTTTAGATATAGTCTACTTTCAAAAAATATAAAAATGAATTTCAGAAAAGCCCCACTTTGCCATATCGCACTAACAATCCTAGACTGAAATGCCAATCTAGATGCTTAAGCCCAGTTTACTATAATCTCAATTTGAACCATTTCTGTGTCATCCCTGCATTAAATGAATGTGTTCAGTGGTGGCTGGAGGACTAAGTCCCAGCTGCACGGTGAAGTCACTGCACAACAAGCGTCGGGACATTTCTTCTGCTCTTTGACGGAGTGTTGGTAAAAGGAGTGGAGCCCAATCTGTGACCAAAGGCAGCAGCGGCTTCCAGAAAAGTCTAAAGGAAAAGCATTGCAAACAGCAGTATTGGCTGTAGGTCAAGCGTGGAAGGAAAGGGGAGAAAGATTCCACCAGTTAGTGTGAAAGTTGGACAGAAAGTTCTTCTCCCAGAATACGGAGGCACCAAAGTAATTCAGGAAAATGAAGATTATCTTTCATTTAGAGATGGTGAAGTTTGTGGAAAGTATGTGGACTGAAATAATTGTTGAAATGGTGTCACATAAAGCTGCCCATTCCATTGACATTCTGAACTATTTCATCATCTGAATAATTTCCATGCCTCCCTTTTGTAATAAACTGATGACATCCATCATCTCTGAAGTTTACTTCCACTCTATAGCTAAAAACATTTCCAAATCAAATAATGTAAATCAAAAATTAATGTGTCCAAAGTTAAATGAGTTCAAATCCAAGCAAAATGAGCTTCACACCTACCTAGTCCTCACAGTAAAATATTTTATATTATTTTATCACAGACAGAAAAAAAGTGTGTTGAATGAGGAAACGCATCCTAGGCACGTCACAAATTGCTGTTTGTTTGGGAAGAGGTGACGGAGGAGCTGACACAGTGGAAGAAGAAAGACAGAGGGCTTTATTTAGTCAGCCTGCATTCTTGAGCAGCACTTCCGGGTTCCTTCCTCTATGTACTGAAATCGAAAGCAGATTTCAGATCAGTTTCTTTTCCATGAATTATCTGTAAGATTTCTCATCAGCAGTTATAAAAGACCTACAATTTAACAGTTACCAAGGCAACCATATATTTTAGAACAAATAATAAATGGGTCATATCTTTGAAAAGAAAATTGGTGTGAAAGGAGCAAAATTAGGCTCAGAGAATATTTCTTTCATATAAAACTTTGAGTGGCAGACCTACATGTGAAGCAATTAAAGATAAGAATTCAACTTTCTAGAATTTCTAACCATGTCATTTGTATTTTAAAGACAATTTTAAGCCTCACATTACCTATATAAAATAACTGCAATTTATAGAATACTATTAAACTCAGTGTCATTTTATTTACAATATATAGTTTTGTACACTTCTTTAATCTCACATTATACATGTTAATACAATGGTAATGCAATTCCTAGTACATATACCAAAATGTACTTAGATCCATAGCGTGGTTATCATGTGACACATAATTATATAAGAACTATTATTGCGGAATATTATTTTAGATCTGTTATATTTGTTTATGCTGTGGAACATTTGTTCTAATGATGTAAAAATGTGCTGCATTCTTTTATGTTACATCTGTTTAACTCCGTGAAGCTGTGTTACTTTGCCTGTCTAAAACAACTGATTGGTCTAATAAAGAGGTGACTGGTCAATAGCAAGGCAGGAGAAAGGATAGGCAGGGCTGGCAGGCAGAGAGAATAAATAGGAGGAAAGATCTGAAAAAGAAAAGATCCAGGAGTAAGAGAAGGAGGAAGATTCCAGGGGCCAGCCACCCAGCTACACAGCAAGATATGGAGTAAGAAGTAAAGAAAGGCATACAGAAATAGATAAAGGTAAAATCCCAGAGGCAAAAGATAGATAGGATAATTTATGAAAAGATGGCTAGAAATAAGCCAAGCTAAGGTTGCATAGTTATAAGTAAGAATAAGCCTCTCTGTGTGTATTTATTTGGTAGCTGGGTGGCTGGCCCCCCAAAGATCAAAGGACCAAAGACTGAAAAAACAGCCAACTACAAACCACCACTTCCTTGTTGTTGTTTTGAGATAGGGTCTCTCTTTATAGCTCAGGCTAGCCTGGAACTGGTATAGATCAAGCCCAATTGAACTCATAGAGGTCCACCTGCCTATGCCTCCTGCGTGCTAAGATTAAAAGCCTGAGCCACCAGGTCTGGCCATCCTTTTCTGACTTTATATTAGATGATACATGTAGAAGCTACATTGAATTTATACGTCATGTATAATTGTACACGTGCTCAAAAAGTAAAAGAAAAGCCAGGGGTAGCATACAAACCTAGAGCTACAGAACTAGGGAGAATGAGGCAGGATTACAGCCGTGATTTCAAGGCCACCTTGGGCTCGATAGCAAATATGAGGCCAGTCAGGGATACACAGCAAGATTCTGTTTCAATAAAAGCAAATAAATGAATTGAAAAAAAAAAAAACTAAAAAGCCTTAGTTTATAAAGAGAGAGGACCAAACCAGGAAGAATTCTGAAAGGTAAAACATTGGGACAATTTTACAGCAAACTTTATAGTATATAGTACATATGCTACATATATAGATGTGTATCGAGTTCTGATCCAAAGGAGGAAATAAAATATGCACTACTTTGAAGTAGTGCATATTGATTCAGGCAGTTGGTTTAATATATAAATAAATGATCAGTCCAGTCACAAGGGTTCAGCAGAGCTAGTGATAGCTCAGAGCTTGCCCTCTGCCTTACAGATGGCATACTCTTGCTAAGGTTGCTTTGGACACCATTCCTGAGGAAGAGTCTTTGTGTCATCTTATTCACCACATTAAGCATGCCCATTCAAGAATTCTAAATAAGCAAAATACTAGGCCCATCTGAAACAGAATTTAATCAGCTGCCCATCTCCTTTGGGCACTAGATGAGTATGGAGAAAGATCCATAATCTCATTTCAAATTTATCATCAGCAGTGATACCATGTTAGTAGTCTCACCTTTGGTTAAATAGAATGAGAACAAACTTTTGCTTGATTGTTCTTTGAGTGGACTAGAGTTTATTCTAGCACCTCTATTCCAGCTCACAACCACCTGCAACTCTGGTTCTAGAAGACCCAAGGCCCTATTTTGGCTTCATGGGCATTGCACATACATGGTTCACAGACACTTGAAGGAAAACCACTACAACATACAAAATAAATAATAGTAACAAACGATAAAGCAATTGTAACTTAAAGTTTAACCATGTGGCTTAGCAGTTTACTAGTAGCAACTGTCCTGCCAGCCCTGGTTTTCTTCCCAGCTCTGCCTAGGCACACTTTTTATCCCAGGTAATCTCAGGAGCTTTACCCCATGGCTGGCAAATCTGCCTGTGTGCACCATTTTGGTCCACTTTGTAATCTTTGGGGCATGAAAAAATGATTCCTCCATCCATATTCTGCATGCCCACCACCAGGCATTGCATGCTGGGAGTCCTGCAGCTGGCTCTGCTGTGGCACAGCTTCCCACTCTGGCCAGGGCTTCCAGATACAGAAAGGCCCTCCACATGTTCAGTGAGCCCTAAAATGAGCATGAAACTTCGCTGGTGTCTCTTCTCTGCCTGGTGAAACCTTTCTGGAATTTCAATTCATTCAAACTCTCTTCACTGACACCTCATGGGCTTTAAAGACTACAGAGAAATGTGAACCGTGGCCATTTCTCTTTCTATTCCCTTTTACATGTCCAGTTAAGACATGAACTCACAGGTGGACATGTCTTGTACTCTACTTTTAAAGAGGATTTTCATCTCTCTTTAGTTTAATCCTCAGGCTGACCACATTACTCCTCTCGTTTTCTCCCTTGGACATATTTAAAAGAGGATAGATAGCCCATCTTACTCTGCCCAACTTCCTTAGAATGGCATTAAAATGCTCCCATCCCTCATGTGGCCACTCAACCTTTTCTTTATCCATTCTTTCTATTTTTTTTTTCCTATACCAAGTCACAGACACATTAGAGACTGATAGACAGAAGCGATCCGCTACTTCTTTAGGAAATGCACATTCCTCCCAGATCAGTCTTGGGTATATTTGTAGTCTGCTTCCTGGTCTCCCTGAGATCTGTCCAAGCCTCCCACAGTCTAGGCTTTTACAACACTACTTCTAAAAAGTGCAACAATGTCACAATACTTATAATCCTCCCATATGCCATCGTTTATTGCCTCAAGATGTGGACTTCCAACCATCATTCTGCTACTGGCTTGCAGCGGGCACATTACCCTCACTTTGTCTCTGCTGGACTGGGACTACGCTTTGTATATCCTCATTGCTTCCTCACACATAGAGTTCTATAATAATTCTACTGGATATTGATTATCTCATAGAAGAACCAACCTAATGTAAATAGTGTCATTTAAACCTAAAGAGCCTTGGAGTCAGAATGACACTGGTGTGAGGGCTAGCCAGAAACTGACACATTTAGGAAACAGGCCCAATGTCTACTGTCCCGGGTACTAACCGAGTATGAGGAAGATTTATTTTTCAGTCAAGTGATTAAGTACATTTAAGGACCTATGGTAGAAGAAGGAGTTGAATTATTTGTAAAGGATGCAGACAACGGGATGCCAAGATTGGACATGGAGGCTCAGTGGGCCAGAGAGGTAACTCCATTAATGAGCACTGGGCTGAGATTACCAAGGCCTAGGATTTCTTCTTCTGGCATGCAAAAGCAAATGTAAATGCAAAACAACAACAAACCAAACCAGGAGAGATAAAAGAAGGATGAGGATGGGAAAGAGGAAGTAAAGTATCCTCACACTTAAACCACATTTACTACTTTATTTCCAATCAAGAGGACTAGGACCGCTCGGCATTGGTGGCGCACGCCTTTAAACCCAGCACTCGGGAGGCAGAGGCAAGCGGATCTCTGTGAGTTCGAGGCCAGCCTGGTCCACAAAGCAAGTTCCAGGAAAGGTGCAAAGCTACACAGAGAAACCCTGTCTCAAAATAAATAAATAAATAAATAAAATAAATAAATAAATAAATAAATAAATAAATAAATAAATAAAAAAGAGGACTAGGACCTTTTCCCTTTTTCTTTCTCTTTTTTTGTATAATTAGTTTCCTTTATAACATTGTGTTACTCACAAAGAATTATCACTAAGTTGATTAGTAAGTTATTCCCCAACTTTTGCCTTAATTCTTAGAAAAAAATGAGTTTTTGCAAGGCAATGTGATGCACAAGGCAAAGGTGGTCAGATTTCTAGTTCTAGACCAGCCCGAGCTACATGGTATAAAACTATTTTAGAACAACAAGGCTGCCACATCTAACAAAGTCCAGGGTGTTTACTTAGCATGTGCCAAGCCCTCAGATCAATCCTCAGGGGACAAACAGAACACAAACTGAGTTAAAACTCATGGTGGCCTCCAGTTGGTAAGGATTGCTCTATCACTGTATTTGTCAGTAGAGAAGATTTCTGGCACTTTTTAAAGGCGATCTGATCCTGTGGAAAACTCATCAAATAAAAAAAAAAACCCTATTCTAAAGATTAATGGGCTTTGGTTCACAAGAGCAAGAAAAAGGATCTGAAAGGCCCTTTTACGGAACAATCATATGTTTCATGTAGCTATCAAACCACCTTTTGTATACCAGCTGTTGTCATCATAAGAGATTATTTCTCTAAACTTGGGTAAATATAATATACTCTAAGTACTCATCTGTTAGACGCTTTCTTTACAAAACTTATTTATTGAACATTCAAAATATTTATTTCCTATTCTTTTTAGTAATGCTTTATTTATATCATGCACTACTCTATATCATACATACTATAGAACTTTTGGAACTAACTGGAGAGCTAGATTTCTGACTTTTGTTCTTTACTATTAATTTGAGGAAGCCAGAGGGCTAAAACTTTTTTTTAACTTCACAAGGAAGTCTGTAGTGAGATCGTAATTGAGAAGTTGAACTCTTGAATAAGAAATCTATGTTCCTTTATTGCTTAATAATTTGCCCCATTGTTTCTTTATCTATTGAAAATAATAAAACCAATCCTGTTTGCAAGTGATAAAAGCTTATATTTTATGTAGAAACACAATTTAGAAACACAAATAAAAATTTATATAAATGTCTAATTTCCAACACAAACCCATTACTAAATATCCTTCATATGACTGCCTGACTGAGAACAAAAGCTTCATAATAATTCAGCAATTAAATTGCAGCATTCAGAAGAAATGTTTTGAATATATGCAGCATTTTAGAAGTATGGATTCTATAAAATCAGAAATGTATGAGAGAAGTAAGATTCTTCTGATACCTATTTTGTTCTTTGGTTTTCTTTCAAGGAAACTATTCTGACTATGTAACTGCTCCCAGGAATGAGCTGTTAGGATGCCACAGCAAATCATGCTTACTAATCAAGCAATTTTGTGGCTTAAGAAAAGGTTGGTTTTTTGAAGGAACGGACATTCCCATCTCTTAGGAAATCTGGACCCTTAAGACTTGCTTCCACTCTCCACACATTACACTTCCTACCTTAACAACATTGATAAAAATTGAAGAGATATTTTACCTTTAGTCAATCATATAAACATTAAAATGGAAACCACATTCTACTCTTTCATTATGCCACATATTTTCTTTTATTATGATTGCATTTTATTATTGAAAATGCCAGACAATAATTGAGCATTTGGGAGTGGTCAAGGTACAAAGGCTTTAATAAAGTAAGTATTTGTACATTATAAGCCACCATTTTACTTCCAGGAAACACAGCTAATCTTTCCATGGTAAGGAAATAACACACAGCATGTGATGTTTTAATTACAAAACACTTTAATTACAAAATATTAAATTTCAAATAGAAGATTAGCGTTTGCAACCCTATCACTATGTGAAAAATTAATATTGCAAAGTAAAATGGTCATAAAATATATGAGAAATTATGTTTGCTGAAGAAGGACCATTAATAAGGCTTCTGTTGAGGACTAATGATTGTAAAGTGATATAAATGTTTTTCTCTTAAAGATTTTCTACTCTCCCTTGGCTCTCTTCATCCCACCTCCAGTGTTTGCTGTTCATATTCAATTCAATCTCCTGTACCAGTTTTGGATTCATACAGAGGTAAGGGTGAGTGTGTGTTTGTGCTAAAAATTTTATACTAAAACAGCCTCAAGCAATGTCCTAGAAATGTACCAGGAGCTGATTTATTGTGTAAGAAAAATCTTAGTCTGCCTTCTTTAAGGAGAAACATCTGTTCATTTTTATTCCTTTTATTCTGAATATATATTGCAAAGTTTATAAGATGCAATGAAGCCAGTTGGTCTCAATTAAATAAAATAATTTTTGAACTATTAAGTACCAAAACATTTTAATACTATATTTGCTCCAATATCTCACTGTATTACAGTTCATTAAACATTACAAAACAAGAGATGTTGAAATCCACTTTACTTTAGACATAGAAGTGTGTGTATGTGTGTGTGTGTGTGTGTGCGCGCGCGCGCACACACACGCACGCGCAGATCACTTAAAAAATGTTTAGCATTTACAGAAATTAAGAAAATATTTTTGGTAACTTTAATCAGAGAGTTCCTGCTTTCTTTAAACTTGCTCAATATATTGTTAGAGTTTTATTTTGTTTTCTCTAGAAAACTGAGTACAGAACTTCTCAGTTCTAGAGATTCTCAGATCTTTGGGCTTGAATGATTGCAGATATATTATTAAGCAACCATCTAGATTATGAACTATTTGTCTTCATTGTGCTGTTAAATATAGAAATATTGTAGACCCAGAAAAATTGCTACATGCACAGGAGAAATCTTTAAAGCGTTTTGCCTCTACTGGTAGCCTTTTGAAGTTCCGACAATAAACACATTGATAAGTGGGGCAGGACGGTGCACGGTATCACCAACCACAGCTGCGGCAGACACCAAATCTTGGCATAGGGAAGCATCACCTCATTGTCTGCAGCATTTCACACTGCCGACATGCCTGGGATCGAGACACGGTTACCCTGACTGGACTCACGTGTATTATTTGAAGATTTGTCATGAAGTACTCTTTGTTTTATGGTAGTTGACATGCATCAAACAAGCACACACTACAGCCACCTGAAAGAGTTGTCGAGGCCAGTTCTGACTCTAGAGGTCAAAGCGCAAATGTATTTAAATCGGGAAAGGGAAACCTTCCGCTGATTTACTTGGAGGGGTTAAAGGAGAGGAGCGTTTTTTTACGGTGGCTCTGCCCGAGGTCATGCCCTGTGTCCCGCCCAGTATTAGTTAGGATATGGAACGATGATGTCTAAAGAGCTTAGGCCTGTCCTGTGTCTCTCCAGGAGATCCTTGAACCAAGGTTCATGTGGCTTCTCAGAAGAAAAGTGCAGACCAAAAGCCAGTGGGGAATTATTTAAAGATCAGTTCCCCGGCTGCTAGCCTTTCTAGCCGAACAGCAGAATGTTAGCGCCTGGTACAGATGCTGCACCTCATATCTTTGCAGGAACTTAAATAAGCAGTGTTGTCTCAGATGGATTCCACAAGAGGCAAGCCCCTAGCTGATAAACGTATTGTTTGAATTGTGTTGCAAGCTATGAATTTATTTCTGAAAATTTCTACAGCTGTGAAATTCAGGCAACATAATTTCATTTGTTTATAAGTAAGAACATTACTCAGGAGGAGACTCAAAAGGCTGATGGCAGTGGTGCTTCCTGGAGAGAGACAAAGTGAATAGACATCAGGTGGGGGATTGAATTTCATTTTTAGTATTTAAATATTTGTGTATTTAATTGTGTGTGTGTGTGTGTGTGTGTGTGAGTATATGTATGTCCACCATGCATGAAGTGCCTGTGGAGGTTAAGAGTTTCCAGGGAGTTGCAGACAGTTGTTTGCCATCCTTTGGGTGCTGGAAACTGAATCCCAGTCCTCTGCAAGAGTAATAAGGAAGGACTGTTAATCACTCAGCCATCTCTCCAGGAGGTATAATTTAAAAGAATATATTTTCAACATGTGCGTATCCTACTTTGTTAATTAGAAGTTAACATGGTCTGAGTCCCGAAGCCTGACAATTTGGGGTTGATCACCAAGACTACATTGTGGAAGAAGGGAACCTATTCAAGCAGGGTGTCTTCAGACTTCCACAGAGCCCTGGGACACAAGGGCAATCAATACACAGAACACACACACACTTAATAAATCTAATCAAGTGCTTTTAAGTGTTACCACACATAGTAAAGGTAAAAACTAAAATTTTTGGTTTCCGTCTAGAAAGTGTGCACATTAAGACTGAAAACCTGTTAGCATCTTCCTCAGATCCTCTAGGCTCCTGGTACCCTCTAGTATCCAGCACCACAGGAGTGACTCTCTAGTTAAAGAAACCTTGTGTGAGCTGCAGGCATCCCAGTGTTGGTTACATAGCTTGGTCCATTCACAAACAGGTTTTCTTCTTTACCATCCCTAAAGTTCGGTTCTTAGGAAAGAGCAAGCTGATTAAGGAGACACTGATTTTTTTTCTGAAAGGGATAAAGTTACTTCCTTCAAATCCACAGAAAGTTTGGGGAGTCTTACCAGGGCTACCATGTATTAACAAGAAAGTAGATTCCCACTCAGGATTTTTCATCTCATAAATTAAATAATTTAAGAGTAGATTCAGGGCCAGATGGTGGTGGCACACGCCTTTAATCCCAGCACTCGGGAGGCAGAGGCAGAGGTAGGTGGATCTCTGTGAGTTTGAGGCCAGCCTGGGCTACAGAGTGAGTTCCAGGAAAGGCAAGGCTACACAGAGAAACCCTGTCTCGAAAAACCAAAACAAAAAAAAAAAGAAGAAGAAAAAAAGAAAAGAAAAGAGAAAAAGAAAAAAAAAGAAAAGAAAAAAAGAGCTGCCAAGAAGGTGAAGAGGATGAAGAGGATGGAGAAGAGGAAAAGCCAATAAGACAGTAAGATAAGAGGATGAAGAGGATGAAGATGATCGAGAAAAGGAAAAGTCAGTAAGATAAGAGGGTGAAGATGGAGAAAGGAAAAGTCAAGCTCCCAGCAGCCACATCCGGGAGGCAGGAGCGGAGGGAGGGGATAATGTTAAAAATCTGTGAAGTTTCTGAACAAATCAAAAAGACATAAAAAGAAGAAGAAGAAGAAAGGTTATGCTTTTCTGACTAATTCAGAACATCAGATAAGATCATTCAGTCATAACTGACAACACAGGGTCGGAATTCTCTGGGAAGTAAAAGGACATACCTCATCAAAGGAGTAATTATTCCAATCATGTCGTTAGTGTGACTTAAGTTGAATCCACCTTCCAAGTAGAATTTTAGGCCCCTACCTAGAGCTGTATTTATGTATTGTTTCCTAGGAAGAAATAAGTCCCCCTCAATAAGCCTTAAATGCTACTAGAATATAACCAGGTCTGAGATACAATTCAGGTCTCATTCTTCTGACTAATATTTATGTATAACATAAGCTTTAAAACAATTAAAGAATGTGATAGTCTGGATTAGGTTGGTATTTGGCATACCTGTGTAGGACTAATGGCAATATTAATTGCCATCATAAAATACAGCTCCTTGCAAGTATCATCATTTCCTAGGCTTAGGGTATTGTGCTGGAAAGGAACAGAGACAGTGAGCTAAGCACTGGGTGTGTGTATTCGTTGCTGTCTTTCTGATTATGGATGATTTAATATGAGAAGCTCTCTCAATCCCTTGACACTGGGTTCTTTACTCTGATAGACTGTGGCCTGGAATTGTGAGCTAAAATTAACGCCAGCATCTGGAGCTGTTCTTGTAGGGATATTTTATATTAGCAATGAGAAACGAATGAAATTAAGACAATATATTTTTTAAAAACTTTCAATGTTTTCCTTCTTGATGTGATTGGATAGCCTCCTGTCCTCAAGACATGTAACCCTCTGACTTGCTTCCTCTAGTTAGCTCTAAAATTCTAAGTAGATTTTGCAAGCTAAATACTTTTGTTAAAAAACTCCAATTTACTTATAAATAGATAATTTTTATTTCTCTGCTAAAAATCTCTATCATGTTATGATATATATATATTATATATATATATATATATATATATATATATATATATATATTGGTTTTTCAAGACAGGGTTTCTCTGTGTAGCTTTGCGCCTTTCCTGGAACTCACTTGGTAGCCCAGGCTGGCCTCGAACTCACAGAGATCCGCCTGGCTCTGCCTCCTGAGTGCTGGGATTAAAGGCGTGTGCCACCACGGCTGATATTTTCTTTTAAAAGACAAAAAATTAACCTCTCTGGGTCTATGGCTGGGTCTGTGGATTATATAATACATATGTTAATGTATACCAAGTTTGTCTTTCTGAGTCTGGGTTACCTCACTCAGGACAGTTTTTCTCTAGTTCCATTCATTTGCCTGCAAATTTCATGATGCCATTTTTTTTAACAGCTCAGTAATACTCCATTGTGTACATGTACCACATTTTCTTTATCCATTCTTTGGTTGAGGGACATCTAGGTTGTTTCCAGGTTCTGGCTATTATGAATAAAACTGTTATGAATATAGTTGAGCAAATGTCCTTGTGGTAGGATGGAGTGTCCTTTGTGTATGTGTCCAAGAGTGGTATAGCTGGGAATTGAGGTAGGTAGATTCCCAATTTTCTGAGGAACTGGAATATTGATTTCCACAATGGCTGTGTAAGTTTTCATTCCCTCCAGAATGTTTCTCTTGCTCCACATCCTTACCAGCATGAGTTGTCACTTGTTCTTTTGATTTTAACCATCTGACAGATGTATGATGGAATCACAAAGTAGTTTTGATTTGCATATTCTGATGGCTAAGGATGTTGACCATTTCTTTAAGTATTTATCAGCTACTTGGCAGGGTATATGATCTCCCGGGGAAGGGGAACTGGAACAAGTTTTGTGGATGGTCTAGGGGTAGGTGGGAACAGGAACGGGAGTGATCAGGTGTTGGGGGAATGATAGAGGAAGAGTATTCGAGGAGAGACTACTGCAATTAGAGGCATTTGTAGGATGGTGAGGAACTATAGGGCAGTGGAAACTTCTGGAATTTATGAGGATGATCCCATAAGAACTCTAGTAATGGAGGGTATGGAGTCTGAATTGTCCACTCTGTATAGCCAAGCAGTGGAAAT